GGAGGGGGAGGGGGAGAATAGTATACCAGCTGGACAAGAGAATAAAATCCATAGTGTGCTTATTTAAAATGTTTCACTTGATGCCAGACAGACGGTTATCAAAAGATTTACTTAAGAAATCAAATTAAAAAAGTAATAAATTGTATTTTTTTATCTGAATACATGCAATGTTGATATAAACTTTACTTATTATCAGCATAACCTTGGACTACAGTTAACCATTTATTCATTTTCAGAGCAAGAAGTGGCAACTCGAGATGCAGAGAAAACAGAAGACAAGATTTTATATAAACGTCTTGCAAAGTGAGTTGATACCATTTTTATTTATAATATGTTAACATTGAGGTCTTAAGGTATCACAAGATCTGCTTGATTCTAAGGGCCCTCACCTGACTTCAAAATATTTAATTTATTTTGAAACAGATGTTTAAGCAAGAGTTAAATTTATCAATAGAATTTTGAAATCCTTTGTACCAGGCAACAACTAAAACTTGTCTTTTGTATCATTTAAACTGTGCATAGTTATGAAATTGTGCAAGTCAGGTCTTGAACAAGTAATGCACAACGTGCCAGCTTAAAACATGAAATGTGTTTTATTTGATTTCAGACACAATTACAAAGAAGCACGCGGTGAAGGTGCAGCATATGCTAAGTTAACCAGTGCAGCTTATCACAAATGCACACACATTCTGTGCTCAGGATTTGAAGATGGTGCCTTCTTTCTTCATGAGATGCCAGATTTCAATCTGATACACTCTCTGAGGTATGCATGGATCTTGATAAGATAAATTACAGTTGGAAAAATTGCACAGAATTAAAAACAGGTATCAAAAGGTGTTGCTTGTCTGACCATGTTATCTGTCATTTTTCTGGACTTCTTATCTGTATTGTAATTCCAGTATATCTGACCAGAGCATCATCTCTATAGAATTCAACAAGCCTGGGGACTGGATTGCTCTGGGCTGTGCTGGTCTGGGACAGCTGCTTGTGTGGGAATGGCAGAGTGAGTCATATGTACTGAAACAACAAGGTCACTTCAACAACATGAGCTGCCTGGCATACTCGCCTGATGGGCAGTATATTGCTACAGGAGGGGATGATGGGAAGGTAAGAGGAGGCTGTGCGCTTAGCTCATTCTGAAAGACATGAGAAATAGACATAAGCATTGAAACTAGCTGGGATTATTTTACCCCATTCTGCTTTTAGAAGTAACCTGTACTTGTAGAATTTAAGTATTTATTGTGTGTGTAACAGAAGTTAAGGTGTTACAGATGAAAAGTTTATAAATTTTGCACCTAAAAAGGTGGTTTACATTTTTGTACTTCTGATTTATATTACAGGTTAAGGTCTGGAATACTAGTAGTGGTTTGTGTTTTGTGACATTTAATGAACACCTGGGAGGTATCTCAGGTGTGGCCTTCAGCCAGAGTGGACAAGTAGTGGTCACTGCCTCACTGGACGGGACTGTCAGAGCATTTGACCTTAACAGGTCAGTTTACCAAGAAAAAATTATTTCTGTGCTTTTAATTAAAATTGTGGTTTCAGTCAGTCTTATGTCAACTGACAGTCTGGTTTGTATATGTGATGGGGATTCCTATGTCATCTGTTCATATGTGATGGGGATTCCTATATCATCTGTTCATGTTTAAGTTGGACGGTTTCCATTTAAAGTTGGTAATTTTACAGAGAAATTCAATCAATATTTGGTTCTCAGTTTGTTTTAGCATACTTTGACCTAGTAAAAATCAGTACATAGTGGTTCATTGACATTATTTGACCTCTTTCCCTTAAAATGTTAAATGACTTCTGTTTAAGATGGGCAGCTGATATATTAGTGAAAATGTACAGATTTTTTTCTGGATCAAGATACCCTCCTTATTTTCTCCTAAATAAAAGTCTTTATAGAGTAATGTTCTGCTCTAAATGCACTGATGATAAATCGTAACTTATAAAAAGAAAACTGTTGATTGTAAAACTCTGACCTACCAGCAATGTGTTATACATTTTGTTTCAGATATCGTAACTTCCGTACCTTTACATCACCACGCCCTGTTCAGTTTTCATCCCTGGCCTTGGACTCAAGTGGCGAGATTGTTTGTGCGGGGGGTCTGGACGTGTTTGAGATCTTTGTATGGTCCATGAAGACAGGGAGGCTGTTGGAGGTAATACCATAAATTAATCTTTTTTATTTATGACTGTCAGATAGATTTTTTTACCCTAGTTAATAAAAATGTTGTTTCAAAATTTAAGATGTACACTGGTTTTTAATTTTGTGATTTTACTGTCCGAAGGTCTTTCAGCTAGTTTTGTTAAATTTAGAAAGATTGCAATATTTAACTGGTTTATATACAAGTGAATTATTATATGCTGCTTGGGTATGAGGTAATTTAACTTTATTCTGATGGGAAAATAATGTCCATGAATTTCGCATAAATTTCAGGTTCTTGCTGGACATGAGGGACCTATTAGCAGTCTTGCCTTTAGTACTGGACATGCCATATTGGCCAGCACATCCTGGGATAAAACTGTAAAATTATGGGATATATTTGAAAGTAAAGGCTCCCGTGAAACAATACTCCTGGGATCAGATGGTGGGTTTACAAGAAAAATGCTTGAGATAGTCAAATAATTCTTATTTTGATGCATACCTAAAGAGCGTTTGTTACAAATATGTTTTATTTGCTTATTAATCTTAAAAATACATTATGCATGTAGGTTTTGACTGCTTCAGAATGCAAATGGAAATACCTGTACTCAAAAGTATGTTTTCTTCTGACTGTATATTTTTATTTTTTTATTAGTTTATTTTAAAGGTGAAAATCTTAAGTACTGTGTATTAGTCTGATGGATAAAATTCCTGTCCCCTCTTTTTCTAGTGCTGGGCTTGGCCTACAGGCCTGATGGTGCTGAGGTGGCAGTTTCCACTCTTAATGGTCACATCTCCTTCTGGGATGTCCACTCTGCTGTCCAGACTGGCTCCATAGAGGGCAGGCCTGATCTTGGATACAGTAGGAAAGAACTGGACAAGATTACTGCCAAGAAGTCTGCTGGTGGAAAGTAAGGGAAGAATATGAATTGTTTTAAGGTCTTGAAAATGTTAAGAAAAACTTAGATTAAATTAGTTTGATACAGGGGATGTTTGAGTCTAGATATTAAGACTACAGCTTCTATATAAAGAAGGAGATGGAAACAAAATGGGAATTAAGATATTCTTCGGAAAGTAAAGTGAAAAAATGTACCACAAAAAGTGGAAGTTTTGAAATATGTCTAAGCATGATTCTAAAATTCATAAGCCTCTCTTCTCTTTTTAATTACATCATGAAATTGCTGTAATACTTATATGTAACATTTGATTTAATTGGATATATTGAGACAGTATGGACTCTTCCCAGCAGAAATGGAATTTGTTTTTCAGAGCATTCACCAGCCTTTGTTATACAGCAGATGGNACTACAGCTTCTATATAAAGAAGGAGATGGAAACAAAATGGGAATTAAGATATTCTTCGGAAAGTAAAGTGAAAAAATGTACCACAAAAAGTGGAAGTTTTGAAATATGTCTAAGCATGATTCTAAAATTCATAAGCCTCTCTTCTCTTTTTAATTACATCATGAAATTGCTGTAATACTTATATGTAACATTTGATTTAATTGGATATATTGAGACAGTATGGACTCTTCCCAGCAGAAATGGAATTTGTTTTTCAGAGCATTCACCAGCCTTTGTTATACAGCAGATGGACAATGCATTCTGGCTGCTGGACGGTCCAAGAATGTCTGTATCTACTCTGTGGCTGACCAGATTCTGATCAGGAAGTTTGAGATCTCTTGTAATCTGTCTTTTGACGGAATGGAGGTAAGGAACAGAACAAGTTTTTTTTTTCATGGTGTTTGTTAGACTTTTTGAGGAATTTACACCATATATGTCCCCAGGAACCATTTTGTGAAATGGTTTATTTATCCTTTACATGCTTTAATTTTTATTTTTTCCCAAATAACTAACTATCCCAAATATGTTTGATATCTTGTACACATTACAAAGATATTGATGACTAAGTTTTTCCTATCATAAAAACTGGTAATTTTGTTGGGAGTTTTTTGTAGGTTTTGTAATTATGGAATTAGTTATCAGAAAATGTTTGTAAACTGGAAATTTGTCTTGTTTATGTAGGAGTATTTGGACAGAAGAAAGATGACAGAATGGGGAAGTCTTGCTCTTGTGGATGAGGCAGCAGAAGACGGGAAGACCTCCATAGCGCTACCCGGTGTGAAAAAGGGAGACATGAGCTCAAGGCACTGGAAACCTGAAGTCTTGGTGTCCTGTGTGCGCTTCTCCCCCACTGGTATGATTAAATCTTACATAAGAGATAGTACAATAACAGGATTGAATTTAGGTCTTTTTTTAATGTTGGATGCAGTTTGATATAATGTAATTTCTTCTTGGTGATTATTTACAAATAGGAGTAAGAAGAAACTGCTTCCATAATACTTTTTTGTGGCTACATTCTTGTCTTTATTGATTTCATTGTACCACCAGCGTTAGCGCTGGCGGTACACATGGTTTCGGTCTCGTCCGGATCGTTCCGCCGGCTCCGCCGGACGGGTACCGTTACCGCTTCTTCTCCTAGACGGTAAGGCCCCCCATACCCATCTCATGGATTTAGGTC